TATCTGTATGCTTGCACTGTAGATTGATCTAAAAATACTAATAAGGAAGCAAGTATTTCCTTTCAATCCTATTCATGTGGCACCTAGAAAAAAAGGAAGCCCAGTGGCTTGGTTGTGACTGGGAAGAGCTCAATAACATCAGGTTCTCAATAAACTTCATGACTGCTATGTACGTATTCTTTTTCCGTGGGAATCCTCACTGGTAGGACAGGGCTATGGAGTATCAGGACCTATTTTATATATGAAAATGGAATTCATAATGACTTGCCACAGAAAAAGCAGGCAAATCACACAAAAAGCACCCATTATAAGCTATCAGAATAAATTGTTTTTGAAAAGAAATCCATAATCATTTTGTCTTTCAGATGACTTTGAGCATGCTCGTACTATCTTGAACTCATCACATTAGGCTACTGGTTTCAAGTGGTACACCTTCCCTGTGCCATGTTCATACATTCCAGTGGTTCCTGTCTTATCCTTTGTTGTGCTCTAATTCAGTCTCCTTCTCTATGCTCACTGACCCAGTTTTGATCTAACATTGCCTGTTGTTCTCTTTTCTTAATGTGAAAATGCTCGAGTCCATATGCTCACTCATGGATGTTAACACAAGCATACTTTGTGGATGCCAGAATGGATATAAGCATGCATGGGATAACTGTAATGTCCGAGTGGCTTCCATGTGATTGGAGTGCTGCAATACAATGATATCCAGGGCAATTGGGGGATTGTTGACTTCATATTTTGGACATGAGTCTGGAAGGGAAGATCGACTTGGTTGAGATATTCACTGAAGTACTGGCAGTGTTACAGCCAGACAATCAGACATCAAAAAAAAGCTGGGAGGAGATTCCAGATTAATATGGGATTTCATGACTCACCTCTTAGTGAAGTGATGGAGTATAAGCCTGAATGTCTCCACTCGAGAGTGAATCCCTGGTGTAACATGTGAACTGGCCCCAGGCCCTCCTGGATCAGTTTGAATATGCTAAGGTTTGAAGAGACTCAGCTGAAAGAAAATTCCCCTCACTTCCTCGTGTCTCCTTGGCTCCGAGGAGAATGTCAAACAGAGGAGAAGATGATCTGCCTTCTTTCATACATTCTTTTTGCTTTTTCCGTACTGCTACTGGGATGAATAAATAGTGTTATGAGGGTTGTTGAGTTTTATGGTATGGGCATCTGTCTCCTGTTAACAAAAGGGAGCCCAAGTGGTGTCATATGAGCCACAAAAATAACCTTCAGGCAATCACTGCTTTGTTACTTTATCTCTAACTTGGTTTGGAGCCAGAGATATAGGGGACTGAAAACCTCTGGGTCTGATTGCCAAACCTCTAAGTCATCTAGTGCTTATTGCCAAATTATTTTTGGTATCATTCTGAACATATTTATTCGGAGAGTGATGTAGGATGTTCCTTTATATGGTTATGATCTATTAACAGGTTGTTCAAGAATAGTTCCATTGACCTCCATTTAGATTATCCTGTTAGCTCCAGCTCCCTATGCGGGGACATCAGGGAAGCCTCCCACAAGGATGGTAAAACATCAAATATCCGGGCATCCCCTGGGCAACGTCCTTACAGACAACCAATTCTCTCACACCACAAGCAACTTGCAGTTTCTCAAGTTGCTCCTGACATGAAAAAGAACCCAGTGAGTTACTGAGGTGCAAGGTGGCAGTGTAAAACATTGTTATTCCATAAAGGATTTTAATAATTTCCCCTATTGACAATAATATTTTTTCAGACAACAAGTACTTGTTTTGATTTTTTTTAATGATAACTTTTGAACAAACCATAGCTCTCTTTTATTGAGTTCTATCATCCTGAAGTCATCCTAACCAAACTAAATACTTCTGGTGTTTGGACACGGGACACTCCCCTGTGGTCATCACAATTAGTGATCATTCTGCCTTCTACCTTCATCTCAGAAAAAGGAAAGCTAGAAGCCCGCTTCTTGAAGTGAGACTGAGAACATTATCACACAAGGCTCATAACACAATCTGCAGCCTCCCCTACTAGGAAAGGAATCGCTTACCATCACACAGTTTCATCCTATATTCTTTCCAAACTAGTCTGCAACTCATCTGTAACCACTGCTTTTTTAAAAAATATCAAGGAACTCCTGCTTTCAAGCAGCAGGAAGTGCTTCCAAACATCCTATAAATCCCAAGGTATTTCAACTAAGAGTTTGGGCACTGTTAAGTGTCATTATGGCCATCATTTGAATTGCTTCACTCCCCCTTGACCATAGTGCTCGTCATTTTACTTCTAGCCATCACAAGAAGAAGAGGCCTTGCTGCAAAGCCAAAACTGTCCTTTTTTGTCACATTTGCTTCCTTTTAAAAAGTCAAAAACTACTATAGAAATTTCCCCACTTGACTAGCATGTACTGTTTGCAAACTCTCTTTGTTCATTTGGAAAAATCAGTGTGTTGGAAACTTCAGTCTGAATTGGTATTTCAGTGAGACATAGTCCTCTCCTTTCAGAATACACAAAATAAGGAAAGCTTTCTAATTGTGAAATGCATCTTATTATTAATTAAAACAATCTGTTTTATAACAGAGCCAGGTAGCAGCTTCTGGGGGCTTCTCAATGCAAAGTAGCCCTCTCCTCTGCAGAATAAGCAAAACAGGGAAAAGGTAGTAAATATTACTATTACTATTATTTTCAGTGTGTGTAGGGACAGTGGCACTTGCAAAAATGTTTAATGGCAAAGCCCCAGTCTCATGGGATTGTGTACTTTCAGGTGTGTGCGATACCTCCAGGAAAAAATTAAAAAGGGAGCATAGATAAATGAGCAGTGGGAAGGTTGAGAGGACACATGTCTCAGCAGATACTAAACACCCTCGATATTTTCTTCAAGCACTTCAGGAACTGATTGGTGTGATAAAAAGAACTGCTATCCTGGTATACTTCAACTGAGTCCCAAATATGATTTGTAAGGCTAGATCCATTTTTGAGTCATTTGTGATAATGTCCGGACAAGTATATGTTTATACAGATGTGTAAAATGTCATAATTCTCTTCAGCTGACTGGAAGGAATTAGGGATGCCTAACCTAAGATCTTTTCTTAAAAACACACTGGAAGTTTCTGAAAGGCTCTGGAACTCGCTATCCCGGGGAGATTAGGCAAGCACCCACGTTGACAGCCTTTAAGAAAAGCCTGAAAACCTGGTTGTTTCAGCGTGCTTTTGAAGAATTAACAACAAATTACCATACCGTGACCGTCCAATACAACTTTGTCCTTTTGATGCACTTTATCTCATCCCCTAATGGAAATCAAACCCCAACACTTGTCTCATCCGAATCTCCCACCTTATACTTTATGCTATTTACCTATCTCACCCAGGGATTTATAGTTTTACTCCTTGCATTTGGCCCAACCCACTGTATTCAGCTCTTTATTTTTATTTTTATTTCATACCCTATGTTTGACTTATTGTATTATTTTGTTATTGTTTGCATTTTATTTGATGTTATTATTTGCTGCATGTATTTTTTACTTTGCTTTACTCTAATTTTTGGGCTTGGCCTCATGTTAGCTGTCCCGAGTCCCCTTGGGGAGATGACGGAGGGGTATAAATAAAGATGATGATGATGATGATGATGATTATTATTATTATTATTTTACTGAATTGCAAGATGAGGTGCTGATATCATGTGGAGTCCAGTGTGTCCTACCTCTGTTGTTTGGAGACATCTGAATGGTTGTCCATTTCAAATCTTTTTTCAATGTAAAGAGCCAGAAGAGGAGTAATTTATTTATTTATTTCCTATATTTATACCCTGCTCTTCTCCCCCTGAAGGGGGACTTAGGGCGTCCTAACAAAATCATCATACGAACCTCAAAATCACCCAGTAGTAGTTAATTTTCACCTTGGCAAAAGACAAGGTCACAGTCTTCCCCACTATGATGAAAGATGATGTTTTCCTCTTTAATCTCAATGTGCTAGTTTTTTTTAAAAAAAACAAAAACTAAAATGCATTAAAAATTGTAGTTCATGGAACATTTTCTGACTCCGATGAGAATTTCACTACATTAACAGTCAGTGTTACACTTGGACTTGGAGTAAGAAATATCTTACTGCTTTGGTTCTTTGAAGTGTCATTGAACAGTGTCATTGAACCTAAATATCAAGTAGAAATAGATTTGCTAGGGCATTTTTTTAATCCCACAGAGCAAGAGGGTGAAATTTGGAGAAATTGTTTTTAATAGTTCTAGTGGCATTGCTACGCAATGCCCAAAACAGTCCCACCATAAAAACCAGGCATATTACTTTCTGCATTTATCAGATTAATAGGTTATCCTGACTATTCCTCTCTTGGCTTTCACATATCATTGCTTCAGAACATGTTTCAGTAAGGCTGCCTGCCTCTGAACCAGCCTGTTGCACCAGCAAAGATGTAGTAAAGCGAACTCTAGGAATGGACACACTCACAATCTGGTTGCAGCATCCTAAAGAAGAATGAATACTTGAACAAATGTTGGGCTCCAAAGATCTGAGCCCGAACTAGTATAGGGGAGCAGGATGAGTGTTTTATATTAAAGTTTTCTAGGATTTTATGATTTTGACTCTGTTTTGCTGCAGCAAAAATCTGCAGCCTTCAGGCATATTTGAAATGCTTCTAATTTCCGGTGCCATATGTGCTTTTTCAGCGCATCCGCACTCAGCCATACACCAACAGAGTACTTTGGCAGAACACAGTCTCCTGCTGGTACGTATGGCTGATGGGAACAGTGTAAGCTATGCAGTTTGAATGCAAGTCTTTTCATCAGAAGCTTGTGGGAAGAGAGACCTTTTTTTGTACTGGGACACCATGTGTATTACCAGTTGAGCATTGCAATGTGGTGTCAATAGTAAGGAAGCTTGCCGTATTTACTTGCCTTTCGTGTTGATTGCCTGCAAGGCTGTTTGTTAGAAAAAAGATTACAGTGACTTATCTCCACAAGAGCCTCTAACTTAATCTGTTTTGTTTTTCTGTTTTGTTTTTTAATCAATTAGTTAATTCTGGAGATGGCATTGACTACAGCCAGCAGAAGCGTGAAAATATCGGCGACTTGATTCAGGAGACCCTGGAAGCCTTTGAGCGCTATGGTGGTGAAGATGCTTACATAAACATTAAATACATAGTCCCGACCTATCAGTCGTGCTTGTTAAACTAACAAATGGGAGAGTGATGCCATTTGCGTGCCCCAGCTCTTGTCTATGTCTTGCTATCCTTCTTTCCCTACATCGACTAAAAGAGCAGCTTCTGGGCCTGTAGACTCTTTAGCACGATTGTTAGCCAGTCTTTCCAATACATAAATAGTGCCTGTTTCTTTTATTACAATGGTGTACTGTGCTTATTTGTTCTGTGGAAGAATTGCTTCTTTATCACAAAAGCTGAGCAGAGCAGGCAACAGCGTTGAACCTTCAGTTGTATGGACAATAAACCTATAATTTTCATACACAACTCGGCAATTGCTCTTCTGTGTCTGCTTGCCCTGGAGGCGATGTCAGAGGCTGTAACGAGAAGGGTTTATGCTGACTGCTTAATAGGAGAAACAACAGTTCAGCAGTGGCTCTCTAGCAGCTGGGCAAAATAATGGGCCCTGTCTTCCAATAAAACTGTTGAGCATATATACCAATTACAGGAGGGATTTTTTGTGCAACCCATTAGAAAGCGTCTCCATGAACTTAATTAATGATTCGTGTCTGTGTGTCATCTGAGCTTCCAGGTGTTTGCCTTTTTCCAGAACATAACATTGGCTCCTATTTTCTTGCTTTTAACCAGCTTGGCAAGGTAAGGTGCAAGAGTTAATATATCAACCTTGAAGCAAGGCATTATGCTAAATGACTTGCACAATTGTTTGTCTAAAGGGCAGGAGGTGCTTTCATGAGTGTTAAATCTCCCTGACTTCCTGTTCATGGTGCTCCCCAGGGATACCCACTCCCCCTGTTTAGGTTGTTTTATCACCATGGTGGGTAAAAAGATGTTTATGTGTTAATTAAAATATTTATACTTTCTTCCTACTCTCCAAGGCTCTTGGGGCACTGTGAAGTAAAATCAATGCAAACACTGTAAAACAATTTAAAATGTGAAGTGTAAAAAATTATAGACTAAAACATGCTAAACTATCTGGCAAAACAAAGCAAGTGAAAACAGTTGAAACCACGAACATGTACAAACTGGATAAAATCATTATACTTGTTTTGACTTGGCACTGAAATGAAGCTGATGTCATTACCACTACTGGTCGGAACACAACAAGATATGAATTCTGTAATGGGTGCCACAACAAAGAAAATCCTTATTTACAATCGTTTTCGTTTATAGAGATGGTGTGATTGACTGCCAATCTCTGGACTGGATTCAACTCCTGTAGCAAATCCATATAACTCCTCACAGCTATACAAAACTTAGTCAATGTATAAGCTTTTTAAAATAGCTACAGTCCTGTATCAGCTTATTCTGAACTAAGTAAGTACTTAACTAAGCAACTTTTGGCCAAATACCTCCACCACCACCCCTCCAAACCTGATGGAAACATCATTCAACTGTGTTCTAATTGATGACAGAATTTTTCTCCTTCTCCACATTCAACTAAGGCCTAATAAGGTAGGTTGAAGAGCAAGTTATGATTGCAGCAATAATGTCAAAATCATGGATGCCAAACAGTTACCTGTTTTGCATCCTTTATATTCACAATCATTACTTAGTCATGATTTTACACTATTGCCACATTTATAACTTGCCCCCTCCACACCTTTACCAAGCCTCAGCTTCATGAGGAGGAGGATGATGACCATTCTGCTGATAGTTAGAGCACAGTTGAATGATGTTTCCATCAGGTTCTGTGTGATTGGACCAGGAGAAGTTAAGTACTTAGGCATAAACTGAAAGAAGAGTCCAGCTAACGTCTGTAGTCTCATGCACCTAAAAGCCATATGTCTCCAGTTTCTCATCTTTCAATGTCCTGGTCCTCTGATTGCTGACAACAGCAACACAGAGTGAATCAAGTTGTGTAGAAAAGCATGCTGCCATCTTCCCCTTCTAGCCAAACTTCTCCTCCAGGGCTTAAAAACTAACCGAGGAATGTAAAGGAAGGCTGATAACAATAGTGTTAATGTTCACAGTGTCCAAATAAATATGGCAGGATTGTTCTATAAGCAATTACAGAACTCAGTGTGTTTGGCAAAGAGCAAGACAAAGAACAATATGAGGTAAACCGCTTTTGTAACATTTTCTTCACATGCACTACTTAGCTGCTTTATTTCTATGAAAACAATAGAGTTGATAAAAAGAATATACCATAGAAGTTGGGTTTTTCCCCCTGTCCTAGGACTACTGGCCCTGATCACTTCTCAATTCTCTTTACTACATATGTCATTACATAGCACATAAATTATCAGGAACTGAACATATGAGAAAAGCCAGCCAACACTACTACTGGCCCTTGCTTGTTTCACCTTTTATTTATTTTTATTTACATCACTTATATCCCGCCCATATCAGCCCGCAGGCGACTCAGGGCGGTCTACATATCGGCACAATTCGATGCTATCAATACAATACAAAAGCAAAAACAATTAAGTGCATTTAGACAAAAAAGACAGTGCAATAACAATTTAAAAAGAGCTATATCCTCTCATTCCAATCCTCGTCCATTTCATCGTCTTGGCCGTTCCTGGGTCATTCTCCATCTCAAGCTTGACTTATCTATTCCGGGGTTCCGAATGCCTGCTCGAAGAGCCAGGTTTTCACTCTCTTACGAAAGGTCAGGAGGGAGGGGGCTGATCTAATATCCCTAGGCAGGGAGTTCCATAGCCGAGGTGCCACCACAGAGAAGGCCCTGTCTCTCGTCCCCGCCAAGCGTGCTTGCGAAGCAGACGGGATCGAGAGCAGGGCCTCCTCAGATGATCTTAACTTCCTGGAGGGTTTGTAGGAAGAGATGCGTTCGGATAGGTAGGCTGGGCCAGAACCGTTTAGGGCTTTATAGGCTAAAGCCAGCACTTTGAATTGGGCCCGGTAGCAAACTGGCAGCCAGTGGAGCTGGCGCAGCAGAGGAGTTGTGTGCTCCCTGAGCGCCGCTCCTGTTAGCAACCTGGCTGCTGCACGCTGGACCATTTGAAGCTTCCGGGCCGTCTTCAAAGGCAACCCCACGTAGAGCGCGTTGCAGTAATCTATGCGGGATGTAACCAGAGCGTGGACTACCGTGGCCTTTTAGCTTCTCCTCCCCACTCCATCACGCCCTTTTGTCTCTACTCCATTTGTAATGGAAGGGTCTGTTTTAATTCATTTCCCAATGTGATGCCTTCTAGCCTCTGATACAGGATGATATGCTTGTCACTGTCACCTCCCAACAACCAATAAAAACACTGTAACAATCATCACTTTTACATTTCTATTTACCTATGATTCCCCCACCCAACCCTGCTTATAAATATCTGTCAGTTGAGTCAATATCTATGCATCTAATAATCTAGAGAAAAATTTCTTTGTGAGTAAACATTCAGCAATTCAGGGCAGCTTACATGGGGCCAAGCCCAATCAACATAGTTTAAAATGTAACACATTAAAAACATAACAACAGTATAAAAAGCATAACAACAAAATCAACATTATAACAAGGCATTAAAAAGGCATCAAAACCAACAACCAATAACAAAATAAAACTAGTTAGCATTGAACAAAACTCAGTGGTGATGGTGATTGATTTGAATCTAGGTTTAGTTCCTACTTATGATAGGTGTCTCCACCTGATTTTTGGCAGTCTGTTTTTTACCATTGATAAATCCTGAACCTCTGTGGTAAAGAGGAGGAGATCTGTTCTCGGGAAGGGAATCGGAATTTTTCTTCATGTGTTTAAATTTAGATCCATCGTCATCATTGTCATCGCTACCATCATATAAAATCAGTAAAAGTACTGCATCTGCCTGGTGGTACAAACAGAGCTTTTATTTATTCCAGTTGTAGAAGAATTCACGCATTCAGAACAGAAAAACATAATGGAGGCTGGCACTGCCTCGACAGCCAAAGCAATAAGCATACCTCAGGGCACACCCTTTCTGGAACTGTTTTCCATAATGATGGTAAGGCGCACAAGACCTTTCAAAAGATTTTGCCCACTCCCTGCTGATCTCAGGCATTTACGAGGAAAGATGTAAAAAAATGAATGGTGTTAATGGCTGATATCACACACGGATTCCTAAATATGAAACAAAACATAAAGAGACGAAGCAGGATGCCACTGTGGCAGTGAGAACTTTAAGCTGTGTTTGGAAGCAGTGATGAGTTGGCTACGAGCAAGCAGACTAAAAGTCAATCCTGCAAAAACTGAGATACTCTGGCCCGGTCAGCCGCCAGAATTAAGCCAGTCTCTGCCTGATTTCGAAGGGGAAGCTCTGGTTCCGTCTGCCACTGTTAAAAGCCTTGGGGTTGTGTTGGACTCATCGTTGACGATGGAGGCCCAGATCACTGCCATAAGTAAGCAGGCCTTTTTTCATCTTCGCCAGGCAAGGAAATTGGCATTCTACCTTTCGGTAGAAGCATTGGCAACAGTAATCCACGCAACAGTCACCACGAGGCTGGACTATTGCAATGCCTTATATGCTGGCCTTCTGAAGTCAACGACCCAGAAGATTCGGATGGTCTAAAATGCGGCAGCCAGGCTGCTAGCGGGATCATCTATAACAGGGGTCCTCAAACTTTTTAAACAGAGGGCCGGGTCACGGTCCCTCAAACTGTTGGAGGGCCGGATTATAATTTGAAAAATCTATATAAATAAAAATGTAATGTTCGTTTGTGGGATTAACATAACTCAAAAACCACTGGACGAATTGACACCAAATTTGGACAAAATACATCTATCAGGCCAACAAGTGACTATCACTCATAAAAACACTGAAAAACACAGAGGAAGAGACTTAAAAAGCAACATCCCCCCAAAAATACATTACAATACATGCGCAAAACCATATATATATATACACAAACACACACATCTATGCATATACACACACAAAACGCATACACAGAAAGGGGGAAAGAAGGAAGGAAAGAAAGAAGGAGGGAGAGAAGGAGGCAAAGAAGGAGGGAAGGAGAGAAAGAAGGAAAGAAAGAAGGGTAGAGAAGGAAGGCGAGAAGGAGGGAGAGAAAGAGAGAAAGAGGGAAAGAAGGGGGGAAGGAGAGAAAGAAGGGTAGAGAAGAAAGGAGAGAAATAAAGAGGGAAAGAAGAAGGGAAGAAGGAGGGAAGGAAAGAAAGAAGGGTAGAGAATGAAAAAAGGGGAGAAGGTGGGAGAGAAAGAGAGAAAGAAAGAGGGAAAGAGGGAAAGAAAGAAAGGGGAAGGAGACAAAGAAGGAAAGAAGGGTAGAGAAGGAAAGAAGGAAGGAGAGAAGGAAAGAGGGAAAGAAGAAGGGAAGAAGGAGGAAAGGAAAGAAAGAAGGGTAGAGAATGAAGGAAGGGGAGAAGG